CAGGACGCGAACCGCAGTTGACTACATGGGAGTCCAGCGACATAGCCATTACGCTAACTGCTGGTCCGAGATCATGCAGTGTTTGTCTCTCTGTGGTTGGTTCGTTTCACCTAGCATCATGCCCTCCAGGTCCCTCCATGTGTGGGCGAGAGAGAGCGCTTCTTCTTTTTAACGGCTGAATGCTATTCTGTTGTACGTATATTTACGCACAATATACACTCACCCAGTGATGGATACGTAGGTTGTTCCTTTGTCTTGGCCCTTGTGAGTGAAGCTGTGATGGCCATGGGTGTGCAGAGATGTGTTGGAGGTTCACACCATGCTTTTAACACCATGCAGTATTTATCAGCTTCCCTCTGGAAACAGACCATGCAGCTGTGAGTTTGAGCAGAAGTTGGGGAAGGATGCAGAGACCCCAGAGCACCTGCTGCAGTGGGGAGGCGCACCCCCGAGGGATGAGAACTGGACGCCCCACTCAGTGGACTTCCCTCCACGGGCGCCTAGTCACGCCGGGAGCTCTCCGAGGACTCTGATGCCAGACAGCTTCCCCGTCGTACTGTCGCTTCGTCCTGGTGTTTCCCAAGGAACGTTGTCACGTAGATAGTCCTGACCAATTGCTGATGTGTTTCTGTGTGTCCCCCTCCTTGGCTATGGGTCAGCTCTGCCCACACAGGACTCTGTCCGGACAGCGAGTGAGCTCAGGGGTTGTAGACATGTCTGTCATTGTAGAAGCTCATGCCTGGGGGCTGCTGTGTGCCAACCCAGGGCTGGGTTGGCCCAGACCCCTGGCATTCCTTCCTCATACCACGGGTCACTTATGAGGGGAGCAGTTTCCCTGCTGATGGAAAACGCCGCCATGTCTGCAGGACAGTCGGAGCAGTGACCGTCTGGGATGTGGAGTTTGTTTCAGGTGTTGGGGCTCTCGTTTCCCGTGCTCAGTGGGTAACTGTTTGCCGAAGCCTGTGCCCTCAGGTGGTCCAGGCCTTCCTGGAGGGGCCTCAGCTCAGTCCCATCTCTCCCGTGGTTCGGAGGTGGTGTGAGGCTTCCCACCTTTGTTCTGTGTGGGAGTCCAGGACAGAGACCCGAGTGGGAACCACTGCTCTGGCTGCTGGCCCAGCTATGCCTTGCAGGGCAGCTCCAGAGAGAACGTTTTGTCTTCTCCCTGCAGGTCATCGACCCGGCCGGAAGTGGCCAGCATAGAGCCGCTGGGCCCCGATGGCCACCAGTGCTCGCAGAAGGCAGTGGTGCAGGCCCGCCTGACTCAGCCCGCCCGCCTGACCAGCATCATCTTCGCCGAGGACATCAGTAAGGGATGCGAGCGTCTTTTGTCATTCCTGATGGGGACAAAAGATGGGGAAATACCTCACTGAGACCTCAGACCTCAGAGGTGGCTGGAACTCGTGACCAGCTCTCTTATCGGGTGGGAGGATGCCAGGTGTCCAGTGAGTGTCTGTCGCTTCTGCCAGCACTGTGCACCGTTTTCCTTCTCGTGGAGGCTGGCTTGAGTTTCTAAAATACTGTTACCCAGAGAGCTCTTGATGGATAGCAAATCAAAGTGAAGAAAGGAGTCCTAATCTAGGAAATTGTTTTGCCCTCTCTAATTAAATGTACCATATTATAGTTATAAAATGGTTAGAAAGAGTATGGTGGTGTTTTGTTGTTGTTATGGGTTTTTTTATTTTATTTTATTTTTATTTTTTATTATGCTTTCCCTTACATACCATGACAGGATGTTTTTTCTTTTTCTTTCTTTCTTTCTTTTTTTTTTTTTTGGAGACGTTTTCACTATAGGGCACGTGCGCTCGCCAGACAGAGAGAGACATAGAGACAGAAAGCGAGAAATCACCCCCCAGGGGGGATGGCCACGCTGCAATCCCTTCTCCTCCATTCTCCTCTTGGGATCTTGGGCACACACGCACACGTGCCCAGCGTGAGATTTAAGCCACCGGGTCCAGGACGCAAACCGTGGTCTACTACGTGGGAGTCCAGCGACATAGCCATTACAATAACTGCTGGTTCCCCCTGACAGGATGTTTTTCACTTTGCTATAGAACTATTCTTTATTTGCTCTTGAATTTTTTCCCCTCAGAGGGCACAGGTGCTCACCAGAGAGAGAGAGGGAGAGAGAAAGAAAGCGAGAAAGCACACCCCACGAGGGCGATCACGCCACAATCTCTCCTCCCCCACTTTCCCCTCCTTTCGAGACTTTCAGTGTACACACACTTGCTTGGTGCGTTCCCCAAAGCCACCAGGTCTCTGGGACGCAAATAGCAGAGTTTGTCCGTGTGGGATCTGGTCACCCCACCAGGTCACCAGCCAGCCCTAGGGTTATTGATGCCGAGTAGCAACTAACAGGAGGTCGTCCTGTATTCCTCCCTAATGTGGAGTGGTTCCGGATATTTATTTCAGTGCGAGGTATAGGAATACTTGTTTTTATAATGAGAACAATTTGAAGATCTCTTAGGGTATTTTCCCTTGGGAAAGATTCCAGTCTTAGTGAGGTCCTAGCGCATGAACACTTTTAAGGGTGCACAGTCCGTGGGACTGTACTGCTTTCTAATAAAATGACATGCAGAGTGTGCAAGGAAGGTCAGAGTCATTTTGTATCACCTGCTGCTCGTCTTACACTGAGAAATAGCCGGGTACTTATTAATGGAGCAAGTAAAGACAGGATCTGTGTCTGTGCCCACCCACCCTCCTGGGGTAGACTTGCTACTCCTCGGTAAGGACGCCAGCTGACCTCCGTGTAGGGGCGGGCATCCCTTGCCATTTCACCCCATCTTGTCATTTCACCCCATGGTTAGACCTGAACAAAACTACATTTTACTATAGGATTTTCTTTTTGTACATAGCTTTGTGCTGGTGCCCCTGTTAGAAAAACCCAAGATGGGAACCAGCAGTTAGCGTAATGGCTATGTCGCTGGACTCCCATGTAGTCAACCGCAGTTCTCGTCCCGGTGGCTTAAAATTCATGCCGGGGGGGAACCAGCAGTTAGCGTAATGGCTATGTCGCTGGACTCCCATGTAGTCGACTGCAGTTCTCGTCCCGGTGGCTTAAACTCATGCTGGGCACGTGTGCATGCGTGCCCAAGATCCCGAGAGGAGAATGGAGGAGAAGGGATTGCGGCGTGAGCATCCCCCCTGGGGGGTGATTTCTCGCTTTCTGTGTCTGTCTGTCTGACGAGCGCACGCGCCCTATAGCAAAAACCTCTCAAAAAAAAAAAAAGAAAAATCCAAGATGGACAATGAAAATACTTTTTTGGGGGGAGAGGTTTTTGTTATAGGGTGCGTGCGCTCGCCAGAGAGACAGAGAGACAGACAGAAAGCAAGAAATCACCACCCAGGGAAGATGCCACGCTGCAATCCCTTCTCCTCCATTCTCCTCTCGAAGTGTGAGTTTAAGACACTGGGTCCAGGACTCGAACCACAGTCGACTATATGGGAGTCCAACGACATAGCCATTACACTAACTGCTGGTCCCAACAATGAAGATACTTCTAAAGCCTCCCCTCTTGGAAGTTCAGTTCCCATTGAGGAGGGCGTGTGTGAGTTAGTGGCCACGTGGCTCCTGAGGTTCCATTTGGGTGTAGTGCTGTCTTGGCGGCTATAGTCTTTGCCACGACCGTAAGACTGCCTGGCCCGCGGGCCCTGGGGGTGGGCGTGTGCTGTCCCCGGTGCTCACCCTCTCCGTCTGTCCCCAGCCACAGGCCAGGTCCTGCGCTGTGATGCCATCGTAGACCTCATCCATGGCATTCAGATCGTCTCCACCACTCGTGAGCTCTACCTGGAAGATTCTCCCCTGGAGCTGAAGATCCAGGCGCTGGACTCCGAAGGTGTAGACACGCCCCTGCCCGTTGGTCCTCTGCAGCTCTGCTAGACCGTAACCCTTGCTGCTAGACTGTAGCCCTTGCAGCGCCCTGCCTGTGGGCCTTGGTCACAGGGCCATGGCCTCGCTCTGTTGCTCTGCCCTCCACTGAGTGCTGCTCCACTCGGGTGGCCAGTCGGTGCCAGGGAAGTCGTTCAAGGGGTAGAAACCACCTCTGACTTGGGCCCCCTGCTCTTGGCAGGCTCAGGTCCTGGCCATTCCTGTGCCCAGGCTGCCCCGCCGCAGGGCTTGTGTGCTCAGAGTGTAAGCATGCCCTGCCTGCTCAGAGAGATGGCCCCCGGAGAGCCCATTTTAGGGAGCCAGCTCTCTGGGCAGTGATGGAAAGCGGGGAGAGGTTGGTGGGTGACTCCTTTGGGGACAGCAGGGGAGTTTTCCCTGGCGGGGCACTCAGGGTGGTGTTGACTCCCCAGTGTAGACCTCAGAGGGTATGTGGACCAAGACGCTCAGGCTGCCGGCTCAGAGCACGGTGCTTCCCCTCACCCCACCAGAGTGGACTCCTTCTAGATGGCCTCTTCGGGTTTAGGCAGACTCGCAGCTGCAGCTTGACCTCCTGGTAAAGAGAGAGGGGAAGCTTTGGAGGTTACAGTTCTTACCGAAGGTCGTTGACCGCGTGGGTGGAAAGAAACCTCCATTCATGGAAGATGCTGTGGAAGTGTCCCAGCAGGGACAGCAGCATCCTGGAGCTTTCACAATGTGCCATCTCCTTTGGTTTTTGAGATCTCGGGGTGGGGAGCTGGTCCCAGGCAGGACGCTTTGCCCTTTTGCACTGGTGAAAGAGCTCTTCTCGGCCCCAGAGGCTCTACCTCGAGGGCTTGTCAGGCAGGGAAGGTACATGAAGAGCGTGGAATAGGTGTGGGACAGTAAGGGGTGGCGGGGAGTGAGGCAAACCAGAGCAGATGCACCCTTCCAGACGAGTGGAACCAGTCCTGGTCGTCAGAGGCAGTGAGGCCCATCTTTGGGTTTTTCAGGAGAACTTGGAATTAGTCACAGATAGCATTTGTTAATTTGAGACATCACAGAAGACTGAGTCAGCCAAGCAGGACTTCAGAGGTTGGGTTGGCTGACCTGGACCCCTAGCTCCTTCATCCTGAGACCCCGGAAGTCTCAGTCAGTGTTAGAAAAAAGAATAGTCACGTGAAACCCCACGGTCAGGAGTCCTGCCCCTTCTTGCATTTCCTCCCCTGCACTGGGACGGATGGGAGTTTACTCCCCACGGGTGGTGAGAAGTACCGAACGACTCAGGCCTCAGGGCGACCTCCTAAACTGACATGTGTGAGGGGGGGTGCTTACATGTGTGAGGGGGGTGCTTACATGTGTGAGGGGGAGTGTTTACATGTGTGGGGGGGTGCTTACATGTGTGAGGGGGAGTGCTTACATGTGTGAGGGGAAGGGCTTACATGTGTGAGGGGAAGGGCTTACATGTGTGAGGGGGAGTGCTTACATCTGTGAGGGGAAAGGTGTCTTTCACACAGGACAGGAAGGTACAGCAGGAAGAGCACACGCTTGCACCTGAGGCCCGAGTTCAAATCCTGCCTCAGCCGCTTGTGTTCACATGACTGTGAGCTTCATCCCTTTGAACCTCGGTGCCTCCTCCCTGAAATGGAGGCCGTAGGCTGGCGTTGAGCGTAGTTCCTGGCCGTCGTGGGTGCCCCCAGCTCCCTTTCCCTTAGCTCTGGGGACTGACTGCGATGCGTTCCTGCCTCCCCATCCTCTCTTCCAGGGAACACTTTCAGCACTCTGGCTGGACTGGGATTTGACTGGACGATCGTGAAGGACCCAGAAGCAGACGGGGTCTCAGATTCCCACAATGCACTGCGGTAAGAGGCGCCTTCGCCGGGCCTGAGCATCCCTGAAGGGAAGCAGGAAAGAAGATACCGGTGGGCTCCTCAGGGGCCTGCACGGATGCCCTCAGTCTCCCTGTGTGAGCTGCACGTACCACCATTCACTCCGCTTCTCAGATGCAGACTCTGAGACTGAAGTTACTTGTGACAGAGCTAGAACTTAAACTCACACCTGTGTGATCTGCACCACCCAGAGTGTGAGCTCCTTCCAGTCTGCTTTTTACGTTTAAGTTAGACAAATGAGAAGTCCTAGCTATACTTCAAGTGCTCTCAGCTGTGGCTGCTGCGTAGCTGCGAGTTGGGCAGGGCAGAAGCTGAGCGTTCCCATCGCTGTGTTCCGTGGCCAGTGCTGGCGCAGACCCAGGGCTGAGCTTTTATTCACTACTTGGCTGTGTCACTCACACTTTGTTCGACGATTTTTAAAGAGTATTATCTCTCTCGGGCCAGCTGCTTAGCCTCATGGTTAAGGGAGCCATCCTACATGGTGACTGTGCTGTTCAAATTCTGGCCATGGTGGCTTGAAAAAATAGGCCGGGCATATGTGCTCAAGGTCCTGACATGCTGGAGAGATGGAAGGGGGGATGATAGCTTGACCATACTGGGGGCGTTGCTCTCTTGCTCTCTTTCTCTCTTTCTCTCCTCGTTGTCTTTCTCTGGAGAGTGCATGTACCCTTTGCCAATTAAGAAAAAAAGAAGAAGAAAAAAAAAAGAATATCATCCCTTTTGGAGTAAGAAGACCTAATTTTTTAAAATTATGCATCAATGTTAAGCCTACAGAAAATTTGCTGGTGGAACCAGCAGTTAGCGTAATTGACTATGTTGCTGAGCTTCCGTGCAGTCGACCACAGTTTGAGTCCCGGACCCGGTAGCTTAAACTCATGCCGGGCGCGTGTGCGTGCATGCCCAAGATCCCAAGAGGAGAATGGAGGAGAAGGGATTGCGGCGTGGCCATCCGCCCTGGAGGGTGATTTCTCACTTTCTATCTCTCTGTCTCTCTTTCTGGCGAGCACACACGCCCTATAGCAAAAACCTCTCAAAAAAAAAAAAAAGAAAAAGAAAAGAAAATTTGCTGGTATAGGACGGAAAGTGATTTCCCAAAGCTGTTGGGAAGCCATTCACCCACCTGGTGTCCCACGACCCTCAATTATTTGAATGTGCATTTACTGGCTGAAGACATTATCCTGCATATCCGCAATACAGCCATCCAAATGAGGAGATGGACACTGATGCGTGGTCCTCAGCCCTCGTTCAAGTTTTACCAATTGTCCTAATTTTGTCCTTTTTAGAAAAAAAAAAAAAAAAAGAAAGAAAGAAAAAAACCCTCAGGTCAGAGTCACAAGCTGAGTGTAGTATCTCTCCACCGGGGCCAGTCTCATGGTGTTTCTTGGACCTTCGGCACCCAGACACTTACGAAGCTTACACTCCGCTGTTTTGCAGATGTCCCTCGTTTTGGATTTCTGTGATATTCCCTCATGACCAGCCTCAGAGCCTTGCATCGCTGGCAGGACTGTCATGGAAATGACATTTGGTATTCTCACCGCCTGTTAGCATGGTCAGATTATCCGATCACTGGTGATGCATGGGCACTGGAGTCACTTGGATGAGGGGCGTTTGCCAGGGCCCCCCACTATGAGTTGTTTACTTACTACCTTTGCAACTACTTGATACTCTGTGGGGATTCTGGCTTCGTAGTCACACGATTCAGCGTCCACCGCTGAGCTGTAGGGAGCATGGCGGCACCTCTGTCCTTAACTTTGCTGGTGCAGAACTCACGCCATCTCCAGGGCAGGCATCCTCACACACTGACACTTGTGCCCGGCGCTCACTGGGGGCTCAACTTCTACCCTCTAACCTCGTCTCTACCAGCACTGGGGTTTCTGGGCTTTTATGAAGCTGAGCGTGAGCTGCAGAGTCAGAGGCCTTGTGTCGTTCCTGACCTCTCCACTTCCTGCCTGTGGCCTTAGTCGAGGAGCATAGCCAGTGTGAGCCTCACGTTTCTCCTACGAAGCAGAGAAACAGAGGGGTTTGCCATGCCCATGTCTGAGGACCACTGAGATGCTGTCCCCATCACACACGGGCTGGGGGACAGGAATACAGCAGGCAGCTTCAGGAGACCGATGGGCACAGTTGACACTGTTGCGGCTGGGAATCTGGTCTGAGGTCAGCTGCTTTAACGTTCACAGGCCTAGTTTTTGCGTTTGAATTAGGCATCTTGACTGAGCTGGGGATTTGAAATTTCAGTGTTTATTAGCACTGGCCCATTTTGATAAGACGCAGACTCCCAGGCTTCTTGCAGTCAAAGGCTGGGCCGGCGGCCAAGAATTTGTGTCTTTCCCAAGGTTGGTGACTGTGTTGCAGGAAGCTGCAGACGCTTTTCTAAGCAGCACCGTCTAGGACCACTTATTTCACCTCTGGCACCGAGTAGGACGTCCTGACGGGGAATGTCATGTCAGATCCTGACGATCCTGTGCTCGGGGCTGACACACGCGCTTCCATGACGTTTCCAGAATCCTGACGTTCTCGGAGTCCACGTACATACCCCCCGCCTACATCTCGGAGATGGAGAAGGCGGCCAAGCAGGGCGACACCGTCCTGGTGTCCGGAATGAAGACCGGCAGCTCCAAGCTCAAGGCTCGCATCCAGGAGGCTGTGTACAAGGTAGGCCGATTTCCGGGCTTCCGCGTGGAGCCCGGCGGAGCACTCCTGCTCACACCCGCGGACACAGCGAGTAGCAGAAATTACTTCAGGGCGAGATTCCGTCATTTTGTTGCTTTGGTTTGGTTTGTTCCGGCCACGGCTTTGGGAGAGGTGGTTGAGGCACCCCCAGAGTATGCCATCTCTGGAGTCACGGGGCCGTTCTCAGTTTCAAGCGACATCTAAGAACGTATGGACTCTCAGTAACTTCAGCAGATACCTCCCCCCTGCCGTCCCGGTGCAGGGGCACGCCCAAACGTCTGGGAGGCTGACAAACCGGGGCTCCCGGGTGGCCGCCGTGCTTTCACTCCTGTACCGACTGGCTGCTCAGCGATTTCACTGTGGAGGGCTAGGGTGCACAGGGTGGCCTCCACCCCAGCTTCTCCAGCCCAACGCCCGTCATCCCTGCCTCCCCAGGACCCACTTCCCCGTCCACCTGTCTTCAGAGCGGTGGAGAAGAAAGGGGAGCTTTACCCAGCCCCTCCCCACCCCCTTTTTCCTGCTACCCAGTTTGAGCTACAGCCTAGTTCACAGAGCGCAGGCAGGAAGGTCTCGATACTTGAGGCGTTTAATTCTGTAACGTGAGGGACAAAGATAAATGCTCAGATGATTCACACTCCTTAGGGGTTTAGCTGATAGCTTGGGAGTCCTGGAGGGTTTTGGAAACATCCGAGGACATACCAGTTTGCTTCTGCAGGGTTCTTACAGGTAGTATTTGGGGACATCTAGTCCCCATGTAGTGCCCAGGGCAAGGATGGGGACTGGCCTCACTGCTGAGCTGGAAGGGCACGTTCCTTGTCCTGCCTGCCGTGCTTGGAAAGAGCCTACCATGCCAGTGGTAGAGCCTGCATTTTAAAAATTTTCCTTTGACCTGTCAAAGATAGGGTTTTACTGACGTGCGTGAGGAGCCCTGTAAGACGTTACAGCAGGTCCGCAGAAAATCCGGAAGGCATGCCTAGGCCGTCAGGGAGGCTGCTGTTTACAGAGAGCACAACTGGCCAATATCCCAGGATGATAATCAGTTGCCACTCCTCCGAAGAAAACACATTCACATTTGTGTGGAGAAGAGCCATTCGCTTTGCCATCAGATCATTGCCACGTTCGGGCTCACAGTAGGCCACGCACAGTGGAAGGGACGGGCCCGTAGAGTTCCGTTACCCAGCGGTGCACAGACGGGACACCTCATTGTCTCTCTCATCACTGAGTTTCTCACAAGTTTTCCCGAGGAGGGAGGAGGTCACGGGTAGGGATGAGGGGCAGGTAGGGGACTGGGCCAAGGACTAGGGCTGAGCGCTCCCCAGAGACACATACTTCTCCCCCTTTGAGGTTGGTGGGTCTTCCCAGCCTCCCTGAACATTGGGGGTCTTGAGGGGAAAGACTGTGAGCTCCTGGTGGTCGTAGCATCCACAGAGATCCCTCCTGGCTTCTCTCTTTTCTTTCTGCCTGATTGTCATTATCTTAAATTGAGCTGTGACGTAAATGTGCAGTGAGGTGTGCAGTGAGGTGCTCAGTGTGTGCTCTTTCTCTCTTTCTTTCTTTCTTTCTTTTTTTTTTTGAAGACGTTTTTGCTATAGGGCGCGTGTGCTCGCCAGACAGACAGAGAGAGACATAGAGACAGAAAGCGAGAAATCACCCCCCTGGGGGGATGGTCACGCCGCAATCCCTTCTTCTCCATTCTCCTCTCGGGATCTTGGGCACGCACGCACACGCACCTGGCATGAGTTTAAGCCACCAGGTCTGGAACTCGAACCATGGTCGACTACATGGGAGTCCAGCAACATAACCATTACGCTAACTGCTGGTCCCTCAGTGTGTGCTTTTAATCATTTCAGAATGCATCTCTTTCACTCGTACAGTTCTCTTGCGATTTCTGGGTCTGATTGTGTGGGATTGTGAGTAATGTCTTGTTTCTTCCTCCTGAACTTCCCTCTTCCTCTATAAACAAACAGATAAGTTAAATTTTAAAAATTATAACAGAAACCTTTCTCTTGTCTTCCTCTCCCACTTCCTCCATGACCAACGCCTTGTCATTCCTGTCCGTTCTTCCTGCCAAGAACGTCCGCCCTGCCGAAGTCAGACTGCTGATACTGGAGAACATCCTTCTAAGCCCTGCACATGACATCTTCCTGTTGGTGGGGACCGCCATCCGCTACAAGGTGCAGAAGATCAGGCAGGGGAAGATTTCAGGTGCGTCAGTGAGTCGGTCACCACGGTCATCCTCGCAGGCTACATGGACTGAGGGCCAGGAGGACTCTGACCATGAGAAAGTACATCTTAAGTGTTGGCTAAGGTCAGAAGGTCATGAAAAGATTTACAACCATAAACCAAGCAGCTGTAGAACCTGAAGGCAGGTATTTTTTATTTTTTTTGGACAGGTTTTCACTATAGGGCGCGTGCGCTCACTAGAAAGACAGAGGGAGACAGAGAGACAGAAAGCGAGAAATCACCCCTAAAGGGATGGCCATGCCGCAGTCCTTTCTCCTCTATTCTCCTCTCGGGATCTTGGGCACGCACGCACATGTGCCTGGTGTGAGTTTTAAGCCAACAGGTCTGGGACTCGAACCGTGGTCCACTACATGGGAGTCCAGCGACATTGCCATTACACTAACTGCTAGGCCCCTGAAGGCAGGTTCTTGAGCCTCAGGGCAGGGTGGACATATTAGCTTCTAACATTGCATTTGTCTGTGTTCTCCCTCTTGGTCCTGTTTTGTCCCTGGGTCTCCAGAACTCTCCATGCCTTCCGACCTATATGAGCTGCAGCTTCAGAACAGCGTCCCGGGCCCCACAGGAGATCCGGCCCAGCCGGTGGCTGTCTTGGCCCAGGACACGTCAACGGTCACAGCAGTGCAGCTGGGGCAGAGCCACCTTGTCCTCGGCCACAGGAGTATCCTCTTTTGGGGCCAGTGTGTGTGTATGTGTGTGTGTGTGTGTGTGTGTATATGTGTGTCTGCATAGGTGTTACAAGTCTGCTTTTTTGAAGTCGAGTTATTAATCTTCAAGAAAATGACTTATGCCAGGCAAAGCTAAAAATAGCCCTGTCTTCCGTCAGCGCTGTGAAAATCAGAACTGAAATAGCAGCACCGCTGAGTGGCGTTGCCCACCTCTGTGGGTGACTCACCGGGGAGGGTCAAAGGGATGGGAGGTGGTGACAGGAATGAATATCAGCCCTTGCCTCTGGGAATGTCCCAGGTGCCTGCAACCTCAACTGAGGGGGCCTGGTGGAGGCGGGTGATGTCCCAAATTTGCCGGTGTGCTGTGTGGTCTCGCACAGTCCCCCTTAGCTAAAAGAAAGTGCAGTGCAGCCTTCACCTCTGAAAAGCCCCTTGGTCTAAGGGGGCTCATTCTCATCCCTCCCCCTCTCTGTGCCATGTCCTGATGGTAACCGGGCCACCCGAGCCAGGCCGAAGCCCGCCGGCTGGCCGACTTGCTGAGCTGTGTTCTGTCCTTAATGAGGAACTCAGGCATCCGCATGCAGGGTGCCTCGAGGCTACCCAACAGCACCATCTACGTCGTCGAACCCGGGTACCTGGGTGAGTGGGGCCTCCTGGATGCTGCTTGCTTGTGATTAGATGCGATGTAAAAAAAAAAAAAAGAAGAAGAAAGAAGAGCCAGAGCTCCACAGGAAGTGTTTCCTGGAGCTGTCACCTGCCAGGCTCGGGCCATCAGCACTGGGCCCCACCGTGCCTGGGCTGTTCATGAGCAGCTTCTATATTCAGTGTGGAAGTGAGCAGAGTGGAGCCCAGTCAGGGAGAGAGATGAGGCAGGGCAGGCGTGGAGGCTTAGCCTCCTCCTGTGTTTTCTTTTAGGTTTTTTTTCTTTCTCTTATTCTTTTTTTGTCCAAGGGTACATGCACATGCCAGGGAGAGAGGGAGAAAGAGAGAGAAAGCCCCCCACACAGACACACACTGGGTTGTGGCATGCTGCAATCCCCCTTCCTCCAATTCTCCATCTCTGAAGGAAGTCAGGGTTTCGGACATGCACGCCCACGTGCCCAGCATGTTTTCCAAGCTCCAGGCTGGGATTTGAACCATGGTCGGTCATGTGGGACGTGGCCCCCAGTGCGTGGTGTTTAACTGTAGTGCTATGGGCCAGCTCTCCTGGTTTTCGTTCCAGGGCTTTGCCCGGACTAACCTTTACGGCTCTTTGGAGGGTAGGGCCAGTGATCAGCTCACTTACAGAGGGGCCCTAAGGTGATGCGACAGCTGGCAGGGAGGTAGGAGAGGAGTCCGAGATGCTCTGTAAGGCAGGCATTTTCCCAGAGGTACCTCCTTGGCAAGAAGGGCGTCTTGGCAGAGGGCATAGCTAGGGCAATGGTAGGGAGCTAGGACAGCAGACGGCATTGCAGAGCACTCCAGGCAGCTGTGTGGCATTATCCTGTGTGCCCAGGCAGCAGAGACACCTGGGAGGGCAGGGCTGGTCCCTGTGGGGAGGGTGCTCAGTGCCAGTGTCAGAGTCTGTGCCTGCTGTGGCTCCAGAGCGTGGGCCTGCCGTGGGTGGGTGGCTCCAGAGCGCAGGCCTGCCGTGGGTGGGTGGCTCCAGAGTGTGGGCCTGCCGTGGGTGGGTGGCTCCAGAGCGCAGGCCTGCCGTGGGTGGGTGGCTCCAGAGTGTGGGCCTGCCGTGGGTGGGTGGCTCCAGAGCGTGGGCCTGCCGTGAGTGGGTGGCTCCAGAGCATAGGCCTAGTGGAGATTCCGGCCATGGACCTGTTTTGGATTTAGACCTGCTGTGGCCAAGCATAGACCTGCAGTGGTTCAGAGCGGAGATCTCTGTGGCCTCAGCCCAGAGCTCCTACGACTTCAGATCCTGACCTGCTGCACATTGAGAGTGGAGTGCTGCGGTGACCTCGGGTCTAGACATGCTGCGTTTTCAGAACACAGACTTCCTGTGGAGGCAGTGTAGGTCTCCTGTGGGTCCAGAGTCTAGTGTTGCTCTGCCTTCAGACTGTGGGCCTACTGCCGACTAGAGTGGACGAGCCACTGAACAGGGAGAGGTGGTGAAGGGCTGGACGCAGGGAATTGGCGAGATCAGCCAAACCCTGAAGTCTCAGAGTGAAGCAGGCATCCAGTCTCGCCCTCCTTAGGAGGTGACTCTTAGGAGGCATCCAGGTGAGAAGGCATGAGGCTTCCAGGTGGGTGGTTTAGGGGCCCTCCAGGTGAGCTGTGGGATTTTCAGGTAAACAGTGAAGGCCTCCTGGGTGGATACCTACAGCCCTTCAGGTGAGCAGGCGCCTGGTCTCCAGCTGGGCTGTTGTGGGGCCTGCAGTTTGGCAGTTGTTACTATCGGGGGAAGCTGAGTGACCCTCCAGCTGCACTGTTGTGTGGCCCTCGTGATGGTTGTGGGGTTTTCAGTTGGGTGCTGGAGGGGTGTTGTAGGTGGGCAGTTATGGAGCGTTCATTTGGGTAGTCGAGGGGCCCTGTGCTGAGGGTGCTGGCCCCCTCTCTTTCTCAGCCCCGCTGCACTTGTGGCCTGAGTGGTCAGGCTCCCCATTTTCCTGTTTATAGGGTTCACAGTCCACCCTGGGGACAGGTGGGTGCTTGAGACTGGCCGCCTGTATGAGATCACCATCGAAGTGTTTGACACGTCCAGCAACAAGGTCTACCTGTCCGACGTGAGTGTCAGTTCAAGTCCCGGTCGGTGTTGAGGAGGGTTTGACTCCTGGGGCCTGGGGCCTGAGTTGAGGCTTCAGAGCATAGACCTGTGTGGATTCAGAGTGTGGAGCTGGCGGGGATTCTGGCCTTGGACCCGCTCCAGATGAAAAGGTAACCTGCTGTGGTTCAGAGCGTAGATCTCATCTTCCTACCCAAAGCAACAATGTCCCCGAGCAAGCAGGCCAAGGAGGGGTCCTCTTCTTTCCTGCCGGGCCCCTGGGTCTGTGGGAGATACAGCTGTGTCTCTCAACCCTCTACAGGCCTGAGAGTCTGTGCCCCGGCCCCACCACAGACCTCCCTGCAGGGTTGGAGGGGCAGGATGCCACAAGCGGCAGGGCAGTGAGGGGAGGTGACCTCAGCTGTCATCTTTCTCGTTGTGCCTGGAAACGGCAGAAGTGGGGACCCATCTCTCCCTGTTCTGCAGAGGATCAGAACTCCCTTCCTGGCCATGTTGCTGAGCCCAGAAGTACCTGGGACCCTATCCTGAAGCCCTTGCATGACGGGGGCCAACCCGGATTAGCATTCTGGGTCTGGAAAGGCGTGTCAGACAAATAGGTAGAGGGGTAGAAAACCCTTGGTGAGAAACTCCCAGGGTCGTCACTGAGAATACCCAGGCCCTTCCTGGTGACGTTTGAGATTTAGGAGACAAGATCCCCCTTTGGCTTCTTTGCAGAAGTCATGGCTTTGCTCAGCTTGAAAGAAAACTGGGATGATTGCCGTATTTTGAAGTTGGCCATAAGGGATTAAATGCCCTCTTATGGGACCAGCAGTTAGCGTAATGGCTATGTCGCTGGACTCGCATGTGGTCAACCACGGTTCAAGTCGCGGACCTGGCAGCTTAAACTCACACCAGGCGCGTGTGCATGCATGCCCAAGATCCCGAGAGGAGAATGGAGGAGAAGGGATTGCGGCATGGCCATCCCCCCAGAGGGTGATTTCTCACTTTCTATCTCTGTCTCTCTTTCTGGAGAGTGCACGCACCCTATAGCAAAAACCTCTCCAAAAAAAAGAAAAAAAAGGCCCTCTTATTGTATTTGTAGTTCTTTGTTGAGACCCCTGGGACTCGGGAAACTGACAGCAGGCTTTCTGCTGCCCTAAGCACCACACAGGAGTTGAGACAGACGCACTGGTTCATCGGACCATGCAGGAAGACCACCGTGGAGTGGGCAGAGATTTGTCCCAAGGCCTCGTGCGGCCTGGCAGCCTGCTGTTAGGGCTCTGAGCCCTGGAGGGCCCTCAGGCTGTCCCGACTGCTGTCTGAGGGCCCTAGAGTTCAACTTGCCTGAATTCTGACTCCCAAGCCACCCGCACACCTCTCATCCACCTCATCTTACCTTCTAGAGCGTCCGCATCGACACTGTCCTTCCTCCTGAGTTCTTCGAGGTGCTCTCCTCATCCCAGAACGGCTCGTACCATCTCGTCAAGGCCATAAAGAGGGGCCAGACGGTCATCGATGCAGCCCTCACCTCGGTGGTGGACCAGGCAAGTTGTGACCTCCCGGTCTGCACCCTGGGCCTGCATGCATGCCCAAGATCCCGAGAGGAGAATGGAGGAGAAGGGATTGCGGCATGGCCATCCCCCCAGAGGGTGATTTCTCACTTTCTATCTCTGTCTCTCTTTCTGGAGAGTGCACGCACCCTATAGCAAAAACCTCTCCAAAAAAAAGAAAAAAAAGGCCCTCTTATTGTATTTGTAGTTCTTTGTTGAGACCCCTGGGACTCGGGAAACTGACAGCAGGCTTTCTGCTGCCCTAAGCACCACACAGGAGTTGAGACAGACGCACTGGTTCATCGGACCATGCAGGAAGACCACCGTGGAGTGGGCAGAGATTTGTCCCAAGGCCTCGTGCGGCCTGGCAGCCTGCTGTTAGGGCTCTGAGCCCTGGAGGGCCCTCAGGCTGTCCCGACTGCTGTCTGAGGGCCCTAGAGTTCAACTTGCCTGAATTCTGACTCCCAAGCCACCCGCACACCTCTCATCCACCTCATCTTACCTTCTAGAGCGTCCGCATCGACACTGTCCTTCCTCCTGAGTTCTTCGAGGTGCTCTCCTCATCCCAGAACGGCTCGTACCATCTCGTCAAGGCCATAAAGAGGGGCCAGACGGTCATCGATGCAGCCCTCACCTCGGTGGTGGACCAGGCAAGTTGTGACCTCCCGGTCTGCACCCTGGGCCTTCAGCCTACACAGCTTGTCTTTGTGGACAGAAATGCCATTCAAGGGGAGGCCTGAGCCCTGGGTGTCGGGTGTTCCAAGCTTAGCCTGGGTCAGGGCGCTGCTGTCCTGGGTGCCTGGCAGGCCCTTCCCTCTGGGCTCAGGCCTCAGCGGCAGAGGAGCTGCCTAAAAGCGGGAGACTTGGGGCTCTTCCTGCTCCTGCATTTGACCAAGGCTGCCCTAGGCCTCGCCTTCTCCCTGCATTTATGGCTTCTTTGACTGGGGGCAGAAGCCCTCACCAGGGAGAGGCTCTGGGGCAGGCTGCAGCTGTGCCTAACAGGGGCCACGAGCATTGCTTCGGCTGCTGCGGCTGCTTTCTCTCCCCCTGGATTTAGAAGGCTGATCAGGTCAGCCAGGAGCAGTGTGTTAGCGATCGGGAAATGGTCATAGGGTTCTCTTTTCTGCCTTGCACACAACTCTCCCAGCCTTGTTCGGGAGCAGGATGGAGCGGAAGGCAATGCTTTGTGCACCAGATAGCAATTCCAGTTGGTCTGCTGCCACCTTAGCTCCAGGGGCTGAGGGTCGGGTCGGGGTGTGTTCACATGGCAGACCTCCTTTCCTTATCTCTAAGCTGGGGATAACTAGTCCGTCCGCTGGGGTGCCCTGAGGGTTCAGCCGAGTGGCTCTCACAGCATGGGAAGCCATCCCTGGACGGAGAAGGCTGCAGGGGGCCGGGGCTTCCTCTCTGCTCTCCCACGAGCAGCAGCTCCACCCTCAGGGAAGTGTGGGGATCTGGGTGACTGGGAAACTGCCAGCAACCTGGTTGTCACGGTGACACGTTGCCACCTCCCCCCTGACAGGACGGAGGGGTCCACACCCTGCGAGCGCCTGTGTGGAATCAGCAGGAGGTTGACATTCACGTGCCCATCACCCTCCATCCCAGCATCTTGACGTTCCCATGGCAACCAAAGAGGGGTTCCTATCAGTACACAATCAAGGTATGTGAGACCCAGCTTCTGGGGCTTTTTTTTTTTTTTTTTCAGTTTCCACGAGGTTGTGGCTTTTTGTCCATTCTTATTTTAAAGTGTATTTATGTATTTGTTTTAGGAAAGAGAGGCAGGTAGGTACCCTTGACGGGGTCCCACACACGTAATTCTCCCCTTAGTCTCCCGGCCGGCCAGGGTCCCAGGTGAGTATGGCCTGGACTCGGCCGCTGTGTTTTGGTTGCCTTAGGATCTAAACCCAGGCCTCCGTGTGGCTCCAGCACGACCCAGCTGTGTGCTGCGTCCTGCATTCCCAGGCTAGGCCCATTCTGTTACTCTTAATATTCATTTGAAACCAGTCGTTGTGATTTCTGTGTTCCTTACGTTTTCCCTCATAGCAGTTTGATAATCAGAAAGCACCCTTAACAACTAAAACTACAGAGAAAAAAAGTACAGTAAAGAAACCTTAGAGTATGGATTTCAGTTCCAATTAACATTTATATATATTTCGGTATTTTTGGGGGGGAGACGTTTTTGCTATAGGGCGCGTGCGCTTTCCAGAAAAACAGAGAGAGACAGAGAGACAGAAAGTGAGAAATCACTTCCCTGCCTAGGGCAGGTGCCCAAGATGAGTTTCAAAACAATGGATCATTGACTTGAACTGTGGTCGAGGATGTGGGAGTCTAGCAATGTAACCACTACACCATCTGCTTGCCTTCCTTTTCTTTGACTATTTATTTTGGTATGTATTATTGTTTTTGTTTAATAACTTGGGGGAAATGGATAGTTTTTTTCCGTTCTTACTCAATATATTATCTTTTCCACACAGGCAAACAGTTTGGGGACTTGTTTATGACAAGTATGTCCCATTAAATTGTACATTCATATTGAAGGAATCAGTCTTGCTAGTGAGTCTTTGAACTTAAAGAACTCCAATGTAAGACAGACTTGGCCAGCTTTCTCCTTATCACCTGGCCCCATATTCTACTACTCTAGCAAGGGTAATGAGGCCTCAGGTACAATATATCAACATCAGCTAAGACTGTGTCCAACAATCCTCTAAATATTTATGTATTACCATTTAAGCCACTGGGTCCGGGACTTGAACTGCGGTCGACTACATGGGAGTCCAGCGACATAGCCATTACGCTAACTGCTGGCCCCAACATTTATATTTCTAAACATTGGTCTTTGAAAGCAATAAAAATATACTTAGAGAAGAACTTCAATTCAAAGAAAAAATACCCTCAACTCTGAGCAGACTGGTGCTACTGCTGGGACCCTCATGGGCCTCGTGGCGTTACCTGGCGGGCTCTGATGTGGGACAGGGCCTGAGCTCTCAGGGTTGGTCAGCCCTGCTGTCCCCTGGAGTAACAGTAGGTGGCCTGCCTGTGCACTGGCATCTGCTCCCTGTTCACCCAGGTATAACCTTCCTGACCTCTCCAGTTCTGGGGTTGGGACTCTGATCTGGAAAGAAGAGGGGTGGCAGGGAGTGTGTGTCTGGTCCTGGCAGGCCCTGTATGTGCGGTTCTTCCACTCCAGCCTGGCCTCTGAGAAGTACTGCTATTTTGGGAGCCACCATCACAGGTGTGTGTGTTTGTGTTTGTCAGTTTTCTTTTCTTTTCTTTTCTTTTTTTTTTTTTGAGAGGTTTTTCACTATAGGGCGCGTGCGCTCGCCAGACCGACAGAGAGAGGCAGAGAGACAGAAAGCGAGAAATCACCCCCCAGGGGGATGGCCACGCCACAATCCCTTCTCCTCCATTCTCCTCTCAGGATCTTGGGCACGCACACACACGCGCCCGGTGTGGGTTTTAAGCCACCGGGTCTGGGACGTGAACCGCGGTCAACTACGTGGGAGTCCAGCAACATAGGCATTACGCTAACTGCTGGTTCCCTGTGTTTGTCAGTTTTATGGCCCCTAGAAAATGAGGACAGAATGGAGGCACAGTAGAGAGTAGGGCAGAGGGGGCCTCTAGATCGACCTTGGCAGGTGCCACATTGAATGCAATGGGGGCATTGACCTTGTGTGAGTGTGTAAGTGAACGTAGGTGTGAGTGTGTGAATAAGATTGTGTGTGAGAAAGCGCAAATCGGTCTGTGTGTGTGCGAGAATGCACGGTTGTGTGTACGTGTGCGTCGGTGTGTGAGGGGGCGTGGATGTGAGTGAATAGGCGCGAGTGACAAAATGAATGGGGGATTGTGTGAATGGCTAGTGTCAGTGCGTGAGCACGTGGGAATATGAGTGGGGGTCAGTGTGTGTGAGACTGTGAGTGTGAACATGTGTGTGACCAGGTGAATGTTGGTGTGTGAGTGGGAATATCTGTGAAAAGATGAGTGTGTTCATGTGAGCATTTGTACGTACTTGAAGGGGCGTGCGTGTGAGCACGTGTCGGCGGGTGAGAATGTGAGTGGGTCACGGTGTGACACGAGGGGTCAGTGTGTGTGAGCATGTGGGGGAATGTGATGCGTGAGGAGGGACGCGTGGGCGTGATTGTGTGGGTCGGTGGCTGTCGGTCTGAGTGTGGGTGTAAGCACATGTTGGTGGGCGTGGCAGTGAGTGGCCGAGGGTGCGAGGTGAGGGTAAACGAGTGACCGTGTCATCTCCTGGCCCCCGGCTTCCCGTGCAGGAGTAGGGGGAGCGGCTGACCCAGCGTGGCTTTTCTCTGCAGGCCCACGGGGGCAGTGGGAACTTCAGCTGGTCCTCCTCAAACTCTGCGGTTGCCACAGTCACCGTCAAGGGCGTGATGACCACAGGCAGTGACACCGGACTCAGTGTCATCCGAGCACACGACGTCCAGAACGCTCTGCATTTTGGAGAGATGAAGGTGAGACTTCAGGGGCCAGGACAGCTCAGGGGGAGGCAGGGTGGTCTCCAGTCACCCCCATTAAATAGCACTTGGGCTTTTCAGAAACACCCTTTAGCCCTGCGTCCCGGACGTGGTGTCTGCAGCTGGAGAGAGGGGAGCAGGAGAATGGTTGTGCCCCAGTACTGCCCTGGAGCTAACGGCCACTCCAGGAAGCAGACACGCCATCCCACACCAGTCAGTGGTGGGACCAGCAGGGCCATGTCCACAGAGCTGGGGTTTCTGGTGGGGTGTGGCGAGACCAGAGAACACGAAAGATAGATATAAGATCATCAAAGAGGCATTCTAGAAATTTCCCCAGATCTGAAAGATACGAATCTCACATTGGAAGTATCCCTGTGTGTGTGAACGGGAGCCCACTGGCTGCAAGGGACCAGGCCTGGCTCTCCCTTCATTCTTGTTCAGGTACTCGGTCCCTGTGCCCACGTTTTGACCCAGTGGAGTGGGACCTTTTCATTTAGCGATGGTGGCAGGTGCGGCTGGTCGCCTGCAGCTGCGCCCCTGCCAGCCCCACCTGGAGCCCTAACCCCAAGCCGTCCCTGACCTCTGCTCTCTCCTCACCCCCTTATTATCTCCTTTCAGGCAGAAATCGAAGCCCAGCAGTGTCCAGTTACGGCTTTCTCAGGTTATGTGGGACATGGATGGGCTGGTTATTCCGGTCTTTTATTGAGCTCTGCAGACTCATCTGCCTAGAGATAGATCCAATTCTGTTTTTTTTTTTTTTAATCCTCATACATCCTGTGTTTTCGTCAGAGAGACAGAGGGAGGAGAAAGCACCCCCAACAGGGTGTAATCATGGCGCAATCCTTTCTTTCTGTTTTTTTAGGCAAACAAAAAGGTTTATTCATGACTGGGCTTGAGGACAGTTAAGGAGCAAGGTTCCAAAATAGGCTAGGGCTTGTCTCTTCTTTTTTGTGTCCAGGTGAGAACCTGGCGTCTGGGTCAGACTATTCACTTCAGACCCACCCCCTGGAGCTGGGGCAGTCACTGCCCTTCCTAGTACAGGGTCTTCACCGGGTCTGCAGGGTTGGTACTGGGGCCCTTTAACAAGGAGGCAGGAATCAATTAATTAGCAGTGTCCTTCGAGGGAGCTTGAGGTAGGTTTTACGAGAGCGGTTGCCGTTGCTGCTGCTCTTGCTTTTGCAGCCCGTCCCCTGGTCAGTACACCCAGGTCAGATCCCAGACCGACCGATTCCTCCACCAGTCCTCGCCCTGTTCTAAGCTGCCGTCATCTCTCTCTGGGATTTTCTAGCAGCTTCTTCCTGGTTGCCCAGCTGCTGATTCTGCGTGGAGGTCAGAGTGATGGGAACCTCCGAGGTCTCCCCAGCTCTGGAGCAGTGAGAACTGGTGTTCTTACACTGGCACAGGCCCTGCCTGGCCTGGCCCGCCGCCTCTCAGACCCTGTCTCCACTCCCCGTTCACCGGCCTTCTTTATATCCCTCCAGCGGGCGGAGCTGGCCTGTGCCCAGGGACCTTTGCAAAGACCGTCCCTCCTGTATTTGCCGTGTTTCAGGCCTAAGCGCCTAGGTTTCCTCCTAGAGGCCTTCCTTCCCTGTATCAGCCCGTCCCAGCACCCCCATCCTGTCACCTCGCTCCCTCTAATGACTGGTGTGTCCTCAGCACCGGCACTCACAGCTCTTGGTGTGCCAGGCAGTGGGCCCTGCCTCTCCCGAGGGAGCTGACGTTCCCAGGCCGTCCCCTGTCTTCCAGGTCTATGTGATCGAGCCCAGCAGCATGGAGTTTGTCCCGTGCCAGGTGGAAGCTCGAGTGGACCAGAGCCTGGAGCTGCCCCTGAGGATCAGTGGCCTCATGCCTGGAGGGACTGGCGAGGTGGTCACCCTGAGTGACTGCTCCCACTTTGACTTGGCTGTGGATATGGAGAGCCAGGGTGTCTTCCAGCCTCTCCCAGGTAAACCAGATCGGCTGAGTGGGTGTCACATGGGCCAGCCCGGTGCCTGCGCAGAAGGCTCGTGGGCCACAGTCCACGTGGGCCGGCCAGATGCCCGTGTGGAGGGCTCGGGGTCCATGGTCCACGTGGGCCAGCCCGGTGCCTATACAGAGCAGTAGTCCTTGTCTGCTATCAGCTCCAGCGCTGTCTGAAGTTAGCCTACTGTGTGACCCACTTCTCTGAGCCTCAGTTTTCACATCTCTGCAATGAGCATCATCTAAATAGAGTTGCGTGTCAAAGTGCCAATTTCATTGCTGTATCCTACATACGCACGCAGACATCCCAGCTGAGTAATATGTAGAAATGTGGGGAAAAGATGTACAACATGCAAGGAACGAGAAATCTCACTAATAAATACCGAGTGAGGGAGCCAGACACCAGAGTGTAAGCCCTGTACGGAACTACAGAAACGCAGACATAAGCTGTGTTCGTAGATGTCCGGGTAATGAGTTTCCTTAGCGAAGGGCCTGGAGATCAGAGGGGTGTCTACAGGATGTGCTGGGAACATTGTTTCTTTTTTTTTTTTTTTTTTTTTTTTTGTGAGGGGTTTTTGCTAAAAGCATGGGC